TGAAACTAAAAGACCAAAAAATTTTAAGAAAGAGAGAAAGTTTGAAAAGTATATTACTTTGAATGTCAGGAGATTTGAAGAGTCGCTAGAGTTTGTAAAGGGAGAGAAGTAAAAAAAAGTAAAATGAAAATACCTACCCCTTTATATGAACCCCATCTTTGAATTTTTTAGGGAAAATTCACCCAAAAATGCTAACCCACTCATGGGGTGGCTACTATGCCTATTGCTCTTCGCCATTTGGCGCGATCAATCCACTTGTGCTCTACCAAAATATCAATATGTAATGGGCTAAAAAAATCAAGTTTGCAAGCGAGTGTGCTACCTCCTAATGATAACCATCGATAAGAGACAGAGGGGCTAGTGATGCTATATGATATGGGAAGCGGACTGCAATGGCCAATCAAGTAAATGCAATAACATTACTATTGCTGTGTTACCTCGTCTACCACTAAGCTAGTCCATCTACAACGAGACTAGTTCATCTACCGCTATGCTAGCTTAACTAGCACTATAACGGATCGACCATTATAACTTTCAATTGTTTGAACATTCTTTTAATTGATTGAAAACCACCAGATAGTTATCAAGAGTCTCTTTCAACAGCTCAGTTGGTGGATGTTGACCACTAAGTACGTGGGTAAAAATCATATTGTGAGTGGACGATTTTCACTGGACACGTGGATGAAAACCACCTAATGTTACATGGTTTTGAATGCCTATAAATACTCCAAATGCGTGTCAGGTACGGTGGTTCTTTTTCACAACACATTTTCTAGCCTTTTGTTTTTCCTAATTTACTACATAAATAATTCATTTTACTAATTCTCAAGCCAGGGGTACAATAATGAAGAAGGCCCCAGCCTCTTTTTGCAAGTGTTCATTTGTTCGTAGGAGCCACCCTACTCGGCTCAAGAAATCCAAGGTCGTTTCTTAGTTATTTTAGGCAACAACAAAGGTGACAAAGCACAAAAGAAAACACCCACTAGATAGCACCTACCGACATAAGAATTAATTAGAACATTTTTCTCCCCGATGACAGTTTCATCCAAAAATTATGTTAAGAGTAAAAAAGATTTATTTTATCAATTATATTTTTAAATAAAAAAATAAATACAAAAATGCAACTAAATATTTGTTCCTCATTTTAAAGAATGCTAATAAATTTTTGGATGAAACTCGTTATTAGGGAAAGATGCGCTTAAATGTGACAAAAATAAATAAATAAAGGTAATGAGCCCTTAGTGGAATTCGAATGTAGTGCAAATATAAGAAAATAAGGTAACAACCCTAAAATCATTCTAACATGATGTTTCTGAAATTTTTAAAATAATTTCAAAAAGCGTTATTGTAATATGGGCTAAATTGCCCCATTTAGGATGGTCGATGTCATTGCCTCCCAACCCTCTCAACCCGACATTGTTTGAAAAATTGGGTGTTTGACAAGATGGAGCAAATATCAGCATTGAATCTTATCATGTGCACGAGTGTCGGGCACGATATATGTGATAATTTATTAGTAAGTGCTTATAATTATGATGTTTTCACTGCATACTTCGACGGAATATTTAGATTCCTTGTCAATACTGGTTAAATGCCAATTTGCTTTGATTGGATGTTGTTAACTCCAAGGTCAACAAGTACCCGTACTTGCTCAAAAAATTTTAGACTAGAAGGACTGTATTGCAATAAATTAGTTTTTAATGAAAACATTGGGACCTCAAAACACGTTATTGGTTTAGATTTAAATATTATTTCCACTAGCTAGGTTTGTTCATAAGATAACCTCAAAAACACAACAGGATATTGTGGTACCAAGGCACGTTATTTGATGTTTACTCAACTTTACATGGTTGTTCTTTAATCATTAAAAAAAAAACTATAAAAAATGGCTCCTTGTTGGAAGGTCATTAAAAAAAGCAAAGCACTTTTACGTTTACATAATAGTTTGAAAAAATGAAAGTGAGAATTATTATTCTAAATATTATGACAATTGTTTAACTTTAACTGGAGACACAAAGGTTTCTTATGCTATATTGAAATTGCAATGGACCATACGTTGAGTTGGTACAGCTTTTATGTAACAAACTTTTAATTGTACCAATACTCCTAGCTCTCAATTGCTAAGGTTGAGGTCCCAAATTTCAAGTCCCATGAAACCAGTCGAACTTAGTTGGCACCTCTGGACATTGAATAATTTTATATGTGCAAAGTGGTATTATCTTCATTTGATGTGGCACATGACCTGAGATGAAATATAAGGTCAATTAAATGTGTGGATATGAGATCCCCTTTGTTAACCTGATTAGTAGGATCATCTTCAATTTGTACATATAGCATTGCTCATGAACGTTAAGGTGAAGTTAATTTCTCGCTTCAAGTACGTGCTCTAAAAATGGATTTTTTTGAGGCCATATAATTTGTCGTATGTCATTTATGTGAGTTTTAATCTTTTGAAACATTGTTCAGTAATTAGTTTGTTCATTTTACTGGTACATTACATGCACAGTCTCCAACATCTAGGGTCGGTTGCGCTGGTCACAATTTATTTATTCATTACTTATTTATTTATTTATTTTGGTATTTAACTCCACAACCTTATATATCAGGAGCAATTTTGTCTTCTTGGATGGACAATATAGAAATATTATGTTAAGTTTGACCCAAAAATAATATATTCACCTTCAAGTTCGAATGAACAAAAAGAAAATTAAAAATAAAAATAATAAAAAAAAAGAGAAAAAAAGGGGAAAAACAGAAAAGAGTGTCTTACACCTTGATTACCAAACTTGACAGCCCTTGGAAGATTGAATGTGGGCTATGGCATTACAACACATCCCTAATCTTGCCATTTATATGTTCTCGAATCTCATTCACTAATGCGTACAAAACATTCAATATCTCATTCTATTTTACAAGGATTCAGACAATAGATTCACTTTAGTTATCAGGAGACACACAACACAAAAGGAGAAATTATATCAAGGTTGACCTTATACTCTTCATCCACAAGTACAAAGTTGTCTCATAATTGAAGTTTTCTGCATCCTTGATAAAAAGAGTATGGAAAACAAATGACATCGAAATTGGAAGCTTAATGTTGATAGGGAAAATCAGCACTCTAACCCTAGCAGCTACACAAAGAATTCGACTCCATGCCAAGTTTAGTCCAGTAGTTGAAATTATTCACTAATTTGAGGAAAAAATGAGTACACACTTAAAACACAATGACAACTTCTTCAAATGGTTAAAAAATAAAAATGAAATGAAATAAAATAAAATGAAAATTAAAAAAATCACAAGGGGTTTGATCTCATGTAAATATTCCTTCTTAGCTCTTGCATTCTGAAATTGAGTCAATATTCATGAAGGTAGAATAGACTATGAGTTCAAGAACTCAAAAAATCAATGCTTAATGTTGGATAGGCTAATATCCTACGTAAAGATCAATTCATTCTAGACTAGGATTTTCTTTTATCTAACCCCCAAGTCTTTGACAAAAAGAATAAATTTGGCTATTCCTATATATAAAAACTGCTTATATATCGATGCTAATTCTCTTCAAGATAATATCAGGCTAGCTCATTGTGTGTTAACTAATTATAATCAAAACTAGAGTAGACAAGCTAAAAGGGAAGAAACTAAACAATTAAGTGAAAATATGGTTAGTAAATTTATGTAATAACTAATCAAATCGATGTTTCATTTTAGATGGTAAACATTGTGTAACTCAACAGTAAAGATTACATTATCCTACCGTTTTTCCTACTCATAAATTTGGCACACGTATTTGACAAATAATTGTGATCTTTAATTTAAGTCAATCCACGCTTAATATCTTATGAATCTCAAATGATTATAACAAACCCTTCCATGATCTTAGTAATATACATATTGAACAGTGAATTGACTTAAATTAAAAGTTACGATTATTTGTCAAATAAGTGCGTCAAATTATAAGTAGGAGGAACGGTCCAAACATATAATATAGTAAATAACAAAGCATAGACTAAGACCTTTCCCCTTCCCTCTTATAAAATCCCATAATGTGACCTAATTTAACCTAACATATATTAGAAGTCATAGTAATCTAATCTAATTTACCCTGAATTAGTACTTCATATGTTTGTTTCAAATGAAAGTAACAGAAAAAATGCCCTAAAGTTCTGAAATTGGCCTCTAGGAAGTGAATTTAGTGAGACATGAGAACTCCCTATTTTACGGCTCTAAAAAGAAACATTCTATACTAATTATACTATCAAATAATCCACATAGAAATAATATCAGACAATTAGAAAAGTATAACCTATATCATGCATTTCTTTCCATATCTTTAACAACCAAACCAGTGCAAATGGTAGAGCTTGGTGAATAGGGCTCTCTCTCATCTCAATTTACTAATACTTGCATGGAGAACTAGATGAATAGCTAGTGAAAATATTTTGAGGAATCAATCCAAGGGTTCTATCTCCAGCACAAGACACTAATCAACACTTATGATATGACTTTCCAGAAAGCTCAACCAGACCACCTACGACTAGTCTTTGGCCGAAGGGGTTTATTGCACAAGAATGCAGGGATGACTAATCAACATTTTAAAGGTGAATTGTGTCACACTCTTTGATTAATTTGAGATGCTTTCATTTAAAATTTGGCCAAAATACAAGTTGATTCCCATCCGATAATATATATATATATATATATATAAAAGACAACTCATTCTGAAAAAGAGTACTAATAAAAACAATAGATCAAGGCCTGGAGTAAGAAAAGGAATCTATACATGTACTACTTAATTATAACTACTGTCTTTTAGTTTGAATTGATATATATTTCATGATCATAGCCTTACATCACAAAAGATTTTTTAATCTTTAAAAATTAATTTCTTTTCAGAGACTTGTTTTTAATATTTATACTACAAATTGAAAAGAATTACATTGAATTCAACATAGATTTTGACAAGTTTCAGACACGGTGAACAGATTGCAATAAAGAAGGAATTGGTCGTAGAATCTAACCCTCAAAATATTTCTAATTAACTTATATGTTCCACAAAATTAAGAAAAACAAGAAGTAATTAAAAGGGTTTATCACAAATCAGAAGTGAATCAATGTACAAGATGTAGGATTTATTATGATGATATTACACTGATTTCTCACCTTAATTTTGACCTAATATTGCGTCCGGCCGGCCGAGTTTCCAGTCCATGCACCATCAATTGGCAGCTGCCCATTAGGCATATTCAATGGCAAGTTGAAGAAAGGAAGTCCCAATGATGGATCAGGAAGTTGGATGCTGACGCCGCTACCAGACGGCTGCGACACCGTTGGCTGCATCTGAATCGTTTCGTCTTCGTCCAACGGCAGCCTCTCATAAGCCACGTTGGTGAATGAAGCTGCGATGATGATAACTGGTCCAGAAGCAATCAAAGTACCCACCACATTTCCTCCCACAACTTGGCCTTGTCCACCAGCTAAATATATAGTCAAACTGGTGGCGCCTGGCGGAGCTGGTGGCGGAAGGAAGGAACCGGAGAGAGATAAAATTTCGAACCGGCCATGAAGGGTCACCACAGAGCCGGCTGCAGCTGGCTGCCGTATAGTAACATTGTTGACAGTACCTGTCCCACCCAAAATACAAATCCCTCTTTGTCTTTTCCTTGCATAGGTAGCCACCGCCTCAAAGACATCGCAGCCACTGCTGACCTCCAGAATATGAGCCCGAAGCGTGTTCGCGCTTTCCCGGGTGATAATCACCGGCGGTTTTGGCTTGTTCTTTGATCCTGGTGGACGGCCACGCTGCCGTCGGGCCACCATGTCACCTAAACTTGTATTGGATGTTCCAAGCTCCAGACCTTGAGGCGAGTTTTCGTTCTCTTCGCCGGAAAACTGATTTCTATTGGTTTCTTCATCGGATTCCTGTGGTCTTTGGAGGTGGAGCTGAGAAACAAAGTGGGAAGCTGAGCCTAAGTCCAAACCAGCCATATACTACAACAAAGAGAACAGGAAACCAAGAAACAATAAAGTATGATTATCAAGAAAACTAATTATAATAAAAAAAAAAAAAAATCAGATTTTTTTATGAGTAAATATAGAAATTAAAGCACAAGAATTCAAACCCTAGAACGAATAGAAAACAAAGGAAATCAAGTGGAGAGAAAAGAAAGGATGAGGAAGATGTATAGAGAGAGAGAAACAGAAGGAGCCATTCTGAAAATTTAAAGTAAACATATAAGGGCATAAAATATGAGCATATTCAAAGATGAGGGTAATTAATTATAATCTCCTTTTGATTAAAATAATGAGTAATTCTATAGTGGAAGAAAACATGTTATAATTCAAAAATGCTACTTGTACAAATGATTTTATAGGTCAACAAATGGTAGAATTTAATTGACTGATTAAATTTATTTTTTGTCCAAAATTCAATGAAATATTGTCAGTCGATATTCTATAAACCAATATGAAAAATAGCTTGTCATGATAATTATGTAAGTGTTATGTCCTAAATTCAATCAACTTTAAATATAAACACTTTTAATATATAATTAATGCAATTTTATGGAAGATCTATTATTTAATTAATATTCTAATAAATTAAATAATAGAATCCGTAAATTCAAGTTTTGGTAATTTGCTAATTAAAGAAATTGTAATTGTGAGATACAAATTAAATATGACTAAATTTTAAATCATCCATGGTTATAAGTAATAATGCGATATGAATATTATTATTACGGATAGACCAACAAGTGTAGTATTTCTTACTTAAGAAGTAAGTAACTGATCTCACATGCTAAAGTACAGTGACACTTAAATGTACACGTAAATATTTTGTTATAAAACAAAATATTGGAGACTCACTCGGAAGATTCCACATGGAAAACTATATGAATGTTAATAGTTAAAAATCATATGAAGATTGTGAATAATGAACAGATGATTCTTCACTCTTAGATAATAAGAGATTATGATATAAATTGCATTCAGTTAAGTAACGAAATCCTTAACCAATGTGTACTCATAAGCCGAAAAGTAATTTTTGACTTACATTGATTTAATAGTGAAATAAAAGATATGATTGATAATTGAGATTGACATATATCCATATTTTGTAATTGATCAGATCATATTGACGAAATGATTATAATTTCACTGTAAAGGAACAAGTTTGGTTTTGTCATACCACGTGATATTTTTGTCACATGTATTATTCCGATACATTGTTAGATGTTAATTTGGGACAACGGATGTGAATTGGTGATAAACTAAAAATGGGTAATTTAATATATTGATTTTGATCAAATCAAAATAATAATTTATGTCATTAGATATCGTGATCGAGAACCTAATGAGTCACACACAAAAGGAGAATAGAAGATTGAGATTCGCGAATTAATTAATTAAAAGTATTGGATAATTAATTAATTGAGTTGCTTATTAATAGACCCGATTAATTAATTCATGGACCAAATTTAATTAATATGATTAATTAAATGTTGGATCAGATTAATTTTAAGAGACGGGCCAAGTTCACTTGGATTTATACTAATAGGCTGTTACGGCTTGAAAAATCTATAGAAGATACAATTTCATATTCTTGTTAGCACAATAAAAGAAAATCATATTTCTCTCAATCTTCTTCCTTGTGCAGATTTTTATTGAAGGCTAAATAATTGGACAAGTCTAAACTACAGATCATGATTGTTCATGTTCAAAATAAGGAAAGAAGTTTGCAGAATCCATCAAAAGTATAACCTTCTATCATAGGTGTTTTTTTTTTTTTTTAATCTAAACACAAAGCAAATTCGTTATAGGATTTAAAAAATTTATTTATTTTTTGTTGAGCATGTTTTAGTGAATTTTAATCAAATTATGCGAAAAATTAGGATTTCCAACCCCACCCCCACCGCTCACACCACCCCACACCACACACACACACAAATGAAAGATAAAAGAGGGGAGAAAGAGAAGAATAAATCCCTTTATCTTTTTAAAACAGCAATCAGAGTGATGTAGTCAGAGCGTCATTTTAATCTGATTTCTTTAATTTTCTTTCTGAGTAATGCTATTCATAGTAAAAAAAAAAAAAAATACGAATAATCGTCCTACATGACATACATATGATAATTTGTTATTTAATAAATAAAATAACAGACTGTCATATGTATATCCCAACTATCGTGTGTATGTCATATAAAATGACTGCTGATAGTTTTTACTATAAATAATATTATTCTTTTTAGAAGGTAAAGAACAAAAGATTGAAATTGAACAAAATATAAAATTTTGTATAATTTACAGGAAAACAACCAATAACCAACTTAACTTAGTAGTTGCTAACGTTACTCTATGAATTTAGACAACAAACTTACCATCTCATTTAAAAGCTAAAAGCTAAACCTCTCATAAGAACTATGATGTTGTTCATTAATTTGCACAAAATTACAAATATTGTTGATTATTATTTTATAATGTGTCTGTCTTAATTAATATCACGTAGAATTATCTCATTTTAGTAAACTCAATTTTTCATATGAAATGGTTCGTTATAAGTTCGAGTGAAATTAAATAATAAACATTATGTGATTGTCCGTATCGTATGAAATATATTCTAGTAAGAATAATGCTACTTTGTCAAAAAGTATGTGACAAACAGAGTGAAATAATAGATGTTGGAAAGATGTGATTGGATGAAAAAAAATGACTTTATTTTAAATAGTCCAATAATAGATTGTCATGTAACATTATGACAAGATTTGTGTCAATATTTTGTCCATCTTGTCTAAAGTGGTTTTCATAGGACCAAACTATTAATAAATATTATATATGTCCTAAAGGCATAATTGTCTGTTAAATTATCACTTTACCTGATAAAGGAGGCACTAGATATATACTTTCATTAATTAAACTAGAGAGATCTTTGTAAAATCTTTGTTTACTAATAATTATATTTGTATATTTTTTCCAATTGACAAGACTTAATTGTCAAGTATGAAGTTAACTGATGTAAAGGAAAACAAATTTTTATGCTAATTATAGGCCTTTTTCCTTTTGAAATATATAATTCTTATTTCTTATCAGTGTATATAACATACTTCTGATAAGTGGATGTTATATTATCAAAAATATATAACGTAAGACTCAGATTATTATTATAATTCTTTTATGTGAAATAATATTTTTCCGACTTTATTTGTTCTATATTCTCATGTCGATCGTTATAATGAATTTGTTTATGTCATAATAGGTTAGAAGCAGCCCCAGATAGTTGCTCGATTGAAACCCTCTTGGAAGCAGCTCAAAAATCAGTTAAATAGATCGTGTTTTACCAGGTAATATTGTGACATATTTTATTTTTTTATTCAGATGCTCACTATTAATAATAAAATAATTAGGGTTTATGAGAAAGTCATTAGGAATTAATTTTAATATTATTATGTATTTACTTAATTAAATTAAGTGGTATAATGTCAAAGTTAAAACCAGTGCCAACTTTTATAAGAATTCAACTTGACTTATCCCTTATGTGTACACACAAATTTATAAAAAAATTTATATATTGCACAACATAATGTGGTACATTAATTATTATAATATATTTAATGTAATATAATTTTCTTAAACGTATAAAAAAATTGCCCTATAAATTTCTGTGAATGAAATTTTCAATATTTTAATTGGCACTTATTAATATGTTCTTCTTCAAATTTTACCTTCATGAAAAATCTCGATAACGCATATTTAAATATTTAATGTATTCCTCTAAACTAAGAAATTGTTGATAATGCAGTAAAGCATACTAAGTCTATGTTTGGTAGAAATTTTTTGAGAATATATTTTATAAAAAGTAATTTTTTTAGAATATGTAATTAAAAAAAATACATGGTAGGAAAAATAAATAAATTAAGATTGGTGGCAAATTAAGTCCTTGTTTGAGTTCCATTTTCTAAAATCTCACTTTCTTCAAACTCATTTTCAATTACACATTCTAATAAAATAATTGTGTGAGTGAACTTAAAATTTCATCTTATTTTTTAACTATATATTTCCCAAAAAAAATATTACTACGAACTTGTTATTATTAAAGTTGGGTTCAAACACAGCCTAAGGCCCTGTTTGAAACCCATTTTTATCAAAAAAAATACATTTTTCAACAGTGATTTGACATCATTTCAACAACACTTTATTCAATAAAATAATATTACTCGCAAATCCAAAAATTTTCCTTATTTCTTAATCACACATTTTCTATCAATACACTATTCAAAAATACATTTTTATTTCAATAATGTGGCTCAAACAAGAGCTAAATGAAAGTTTAAAACGAATTATAAGTAGAATTATTATCTGTCACAGCTTTAAAATTGAAACCTAGGAATCTCTGCAACAAAACATGGCTAACTCCAATATGACAGATTCAAGGACACGTTATCTACCAACCGTGTCGAGCAATGCACTCACACTTTGTTCAAGATTAGAAGCAGGAGAGTAAAGAGACAAATTGATGTGTTATAAAATAATTGGATATTTTTGTCTTAGTTTTTCAAACTGTCTAATCATACGTCGACACGTGTCCCATCTAAATTTGAGCCTAAATATATAATATAATTATCTTTTCGTGCTAAATTATTCTTTATTATCAAAAATATTTTCTCGATTAAGGTAACTTTTATAAACTGGTGGTAACAAAAGTGTTTATCATTTTTTTTATAATAACATCTCCAAAAAGTTATAATCCTGAGGGGTAGCTCAATGGTCAAACATTGGATTTGCTCTAAAATGTTCACCAGCTCGAGTCTCCTCGGGACCATTGAGATAAGTACTTGACTCTAAACTTTAGGGCCCGTGAAATTAGTTGATGTGTGCATAAATTAGTCAGAACACCTTCAGTCATTAAAAAAATAAAAAAATCTCCAAAAGGTTTTTTGAATACAAGATATACTTTATTTTAAAGGATCTATGCCCATAAATAAGTTTCAAAAAAATTTCTATTTTTACTTTTTAAAATAGAGAGTGAATTTAAAATTATTTTTAAACATTGACTCTTTAGAATGAAAAATGAATTAAACTACTTGTACAATTATGATTGACAATAATGGATGACAACATTGATGTTGTCAAAATCTGGTCTATTAATTTTAAAAACAATTTTTGAAATAGATGAATGTGATGTTGATAAGTATGATTGTCAACC